TGTATCTAGCAAAGCAGTCTATTTTTGACAATTTGATTCAAAATCGATTTTTCAAAAGATTTGCCGGATTTGGACTCTTTGGTGTTTATCTATTTCGCATTGCACTTGTGAGATCAGATTCCGAACCGCGGGAGTCTGATACTATAGGGCATATTCATCTTCCGAAAGGGGGCACGAAAAGTCGAGCTACACTACAGTGCCTTCGTGTACGAGCAGTGAGCAAAAGAAAAGAGAAGCTAAGATTTAAAAACTGTACTTTGATACCATGTTACGAAAACTATGTATTGAAAAGAAAAAAAAACTTTATATTGTATATTATGAATAAGTCAAGTATACATGGCTCCTTTATATAGAAGATGACTAAATCTAACTATGATAAATACAATCATATATACTATATATGGAATGAATATATGTACAAAATATATATAATATATTCTATTAGGTTTGGATTGGTTCTAAGATTTTTATGGATTGGTTTGGTTCTAAATTTGATGGAACCGTTGGTGATGGATTGGTGTTGGTTTATGACTAAACTGAACTAATCAATTATTTTGAACCCCTCACTTTTTAGCTTTTTATTTATTTATTACAATAATAATCTCAAATGAAGTTACTAAAACTGATATCAATAATTTTGGGACACTCTATCTCACAATTAAGTCCATACACCAACCTTCATCACTACCCATCCATCTTCCCCAAATCTCACATTCAAAACCTTAAAAACCCTTTAGCGGCAATATTCCGACGGTAAATGTGGTAACCATTTGATTATTTTTCTGGCAATGACAATGAGTGAAATTTTTTGACAACCACAACTTCATGAGACGAGAAAAGTATAACAATAAAAGCTCAAAGGAGATTGGTATTCTTAGCTTAGAGGAGATTGACCTTATAAGGGCTGGAAAAAAAAATGACAAAAATAATAAAAATTGTTCGTCATTTTTCGAGAGTCTCAAACATATGACCGAAATTCAAGAATACAGGCTCAAATATTATTTATTTGTTTGAAACTAGTAACCAAATATTTATTTTCTCAAGTCATGAATAAATATGTGAAGATGAAATAATAATTACTTTCGTGAGTTTTGTTAGGATTTTTGGAAAAAAAGACTTTTTAGAATGTGAGAGTGTGTATTCAATTGTATGAATGAAATGTTTTCATAAAAAAAAATTTAATCAGTATGTTTGGTTTGAGTTTTCTAGATTAAGTTTTTTGAAAACTAAGGTCTTGTTTGGTTTTTTTTCAGAAAAATTTTTGGGAAAAATTCTCTACAAACAAATTTTCAAGAGTAATCAAATCAAACAAATTTTTTCAAAAAAAAAGGTCAAAATTTTGTTTGTTTACCTACTTTCCAAAATCACTTACTCTCTCATACATATCAAATCAATCACTTTTTTTAAAAACTCTCTCCCCAAAACAATTTTTCAAAACCATTTATGAAAAAAAGCAAACCAAACAAGTTTTCATACTTTTTATCTCAAAAACTACTCTACAAACACAAACCAAACACACCTCTGGTTTTCGTGTTTTTTTGTTTTTAGTGAATATTTTTAAAATCTTAAACATTTTTTTTTTTACTTTTTTAGATACATCTAATATATCTAAAAAAGTAAAAAATTTGTAAAAATATATTTTTAAAAAATAATAAATACATAAAAATACAAAAAAAATGTACTGAATTCTTATATTTTTTTTGTATTTTTGGTGTTTAGTGAATTTTTTTTACTTTTTAGGTGTATTTATGTTAGGTGTGTCTAAAAAGTAAAAAAAAAAAAGGAAAATTAGTCTAAGGTCCGTCTCCCATTTTTAGTAATGAAAAAGATCCAAAATATTATTTTTTGATGTCTAAGGTCCCTAGACTCACACCCATATATCATTTTAGAGAAATTTGACTCTACTCTTCTTCTTCGATACCCAACTCTCAGAATCATCATCCCTAGACTTAGACCCAAAAAACCCTCCTCTCTCTCCTTGGCGGTTCGCTCTCGTGGACCGATAGAAAGCAACATCAGATCTACGGATGGTGAAGCGTTTGGCAGGGGTAGGGTTGTTGAGCGCAACTACAACATCCCAAAGGAGTCCACCCTCCACCCGGTGCTCGCCTCCACAGCGACACAAAGAAGAGCAAGAAGAAGACCTACACCAAGCCCAAGAAGATCAACTACTCCACCACTTCTACATTCATCCTCTTTCTGATTGCTTGAGATTTTGTTAACCACTACTTCTATGTATATAACTTTCGCTTCTCTCTTCTGGTTAATGCGGTGGGCTCTAGCAATTGCCTGTTCCTCATTTTTTGGGTTTGGATCGGGAGCGTATATGATGACTGTGTCACCAACGGAGATCCTCCACGCAATTGACCTTGAAGGAGGCTCCGCAGATCTGCCCTCTCTCGAACACTGTGCTGCTCAGCCCCGATGTCGCCATTCCGTACCCGCTCTTCACCAGGTCGCTGTACCCACATGCTCCTCCCACCGCGTCACGGGGGTTCGCCGCCGCGTAGTAGGTGGCGTGTGCGGATCTCCATTCTGTAGAAGTAGAACTAGTAGTAGTAGCACTACTACTACCACCCCACCAGGATGATGATGATGATGATGAAGAGGGAGATGGGTCGGATGATGAGGAATAGTGTGCGGTTACTAGTAATAATCCTGATGCTAGAGTTGATAGGATGAGGAGTCTCAGATTTTGTATCAGATTAACAGACATTTTCAAAGCCAGAGAGAGAGAGAGAGTGGTAGTAGTGGGCAAGGTCTCAAAGCATTTAATCCATCTTTAGTCTGTCTTTTTACTTGAAGTTGGAATTTTTTTTTACTAAGCAAGAAGATGAAGCAGTCCGTATCGGGGCTATTAAAGTCCGCAATAGCTGATTCACGGTCTTCTAAGCTAGTTGTCCCATCAATTCATCTGTAAACAAGTCGCCGCCACTGTAGATATTTCTCCAATATATCTAGAAGTTTTGTCATTGTACTAAAGGGCAATACTTGATGCCCTGTTCTGTGAAGCTTTATGAGGACTCTATCAAGAACCCACAATTCCCCACATGATCTAACAAGGAAATCCTTGAAGAAGGTCAAGCTTGTTGTCTTGTTGTTCTACAAAGTTGATAACTCCGGCAAGGTTCAGAGGCCGAGTATGTAAGCAAATCAGATTGAATTTTTTCCGGATTGTGTGAATTTTCTCTAGATTATGAATTTTCTCAGGACGTATGAATTTTCACTGTGCCAACTTGCAGTTCATAGTTTTCACACCTGTGTTGACAGGTAACAACAATACCCAGCAGAGAAAACCTAAAAGCTAAGAAGGTGTCCAATAGAAACCCATATTCATGTTTCTTTTATATACATATATATCCAAAAATTCAAGCCTTGTATTTTTGTTAATATAATACAAAAACATTTAACCAGTTCAGTTTGTCAAGATTTTGGATTTTCTCTGGTAAAAGATTTGAATTTTCTTTGGTTTCACAGAGAAAGGATCCTATACAAAAACAAACAATTTTGTTTAAATAAATTTCAATTTTCTCTAGAGAGAAGGGAAATTTCTCTAGAAATGAGGGAAGGCCAAAGATATTCTCTGGAGAGTGGATCAGAGAAATTTGAAAGTCCAAAGTGTGATATCAAGAGAATTTGAGAGAATTTCTCTGGCTTAAAGTGATCCAGAGAAATTCTTCATTCATTTTCTCTGGAGAAAATTTCTATCCAGAGAAATTCTCTGGGATTTTGGCCAATGTGTAAATTTTCTTTGAGAAATTCTCTAGGAGATCTAGAGAAATAGAGAAACTTTCCAGAGAAATTCTAGTTTTAAAGAGAGAAATTCTTTCAGAGGTCCAGAGAAATTCTCTTAGAGGTCCAAAGAAATTTCTCTAGGTTGGAGAGAAACAGAGAATTTCTCTGAACCAAAATTTCTCTGGATCAAATTGAGGGACCTTAGACATTATGAAAATATTAGATGTCTTTTATACTAAAAAGTCTTAATACTAGGGATCTTTTCTCTGGACGTATGAATTTTCTCTGTGCCGACTTGCAGTTCATAGTTTTCACACCTGTGTTGACAGGTAACAAAAATACCCAGCAGAGAAAACCTAAAAGCTAAGAAGGTGTCCAATAGAAACCCATATTCATGTTTCTTTTATATACATATATATCCAAAAATTCAAGCCTTGTATTTTTGTTAATATAATACAAAAACATTTAACCAGTTCAGTTTGTCAAGATTTTGGATTTTCTCTGGTAAAGGATTTGAATTTTCTTTGGTTTCACAGAGAAAGGATCCTATACAAAAACAAACAATTTTGTTTAAATAAATTTCAATTTTCTCTAGAGAGAAGGGAAATTTCTCTAGAAATGAGGGAAGGCCAAAGAAATTCTCTGGAGAGTAGATCAGAGAAATTTGAAAGTCCAAAGTGTGAGATCAAGAGAATTTGAGAGAATTTCTCTGGCTTAAAGTGATCCAGAGAAATTCTTCATTCATTTTCTCTGGAGTAAATTTCTATCCAGAGAAATTCTCTGGGATTTTGGCCAATGTGTAAATTTTCTTTGAGAAATTCTCTAGGAGGTCTAGAGAAATAGAGAAACTTTCCAGAGAAATTCTAGTTTTGTAGAGAGAAATTCTTTCAGAGGTCCAGAGAAATTCTCTTAGAGGTCCAAAGAAATTTCTCTGGGTTGGAGAGAAACAGAGAATTTCTCTGGACAGAATTTCTCTGTACCAAAATTTCTCTGGATCAAATTGAGGGAACTTAGACATTATGAAAATATTATATGTCTTTTATACTAAAAAGTCTTAATACTAGGGATCCTAAAAAAATTCCTAAAAGAAATTGCTTAAAATATTAAAAAAATTCAGTAAAAATAAAAAAATACGAAAAATAAGAAAGTAAAATTTTTTAAAAAGTGTATTTGGAAAAATAGAACCAAATAAATATTATTTGAGGTGAATTTTTTTTAAAACAAATTTAAAATTTATAAATAAAGATGGGTCTAAAATAATTAATGGGTGAGCAAATTCAAAATTGCGAGCGTACAAAACGAACCTTCTCGGGGATACAGATATTGCACTAGCGCTTCTCGGGATACAACACATGGCCGCGGTGGCGCTTTGAGCCCTCTCTCTCTCTCTCTCTGCGTCGCCATGGCGTCTAACGCTCAACCCTCAGGTCAGCACCGTTGAATCCGATTATTAATTTTTATCGTCTTCACCGATACTGTAATTACAGTTGGTTTGGTTTAGTCATGTTATTGATCTGAAGATAGTTGATTTAATTAGGGTTCCGATGCATAATTGGAAGATAAATGTTTAATTTGTTCAATTCAATTGACTTCAGTTGATTGTCATCTGTTGATAAATTTAGGGGTTTTATTGGTTTCTGTGCTTTTATCCTTCATTTGATTGATGTGAAAGCTGAGCAAAGGAAGGGGAAAATTGAATTTTGTAGGGCTGGTTATGGCTTATTAGGCTGTTTTGTGTTGATAGATGTACGGGTAAAAAAAAATCACGTACTTGTTGATAAAGAAATCCAACGAAGAAGATGAATCAGCACCACCACGCTATCGCTATCTGCAAGACAAAACACCCCTAGTCGTAGCCGGGGCCTCCGACGCCCAAGTCAATTATCCAATATTATCAAAATATTTAATGGACTTATTCATAGAGAGAAATTGTGTCCCTCAACACATAAGAGTGTTGCCTATTTATAATATCCAGGGACTTACTTAGCAAGTAGTTTGAATATTTTAGAAGTTCTATCTCAAATAATCTCTGATTGTTGAGGACTTCTGCATCGATAAGATTTTATATTTTGATAGGTTTTACACAACATAAAACACTAATGCAGTGTTTGATAAGAATTTAATAACTGTAATACACATGATAATTTATAATTACGTCACGTGGCACTGTCGGGACCCACATAATTCCTGTAGTTATTTTTATTCCCTCTCAATTGCCCCCAAGCTTTCATTCTCTTTGAACCCAGTGAAACCGTGGAAGCTTTTTGTTGTTCTGATAAAAATAGTCGTGTAATATTGCCTAACTAGAACCATACATGGGTGTTAGGACTTATTCCAAAATGCCTAACCTTGTTAGGACTTATTCCGAAAATGCCTAGCCTTGTTGAAACTTATTCTGAAAATGCCTAACTTTGTTAGGACTTATTCCAAGAACACCTAATCTCGTTGGGACTTATTCTGAAAATGTCTAGCCTTTCTAGGACTTATTCTGAAAATGTCTAGCCTTTCTAGGAACTACCAAAACACCAACTTGCTTATTGGCAAGCAAAACCCGCTCGGCAAGGAATCCCACTGTTGGACAAACCACCAACGCAGTGTTGTCAAAGTCGCGCCTAGGCGCAAGGCGAGTCGAGGCAAACCATCTGCGCCTGTACAGGTACCAGGCAAGGCGACTTGAGCCAGGCGAGCGCCTTAGCCTCGATTTGAGCAAGGCGAGAGAGGCGCAAAGCCCTCGCCTAGGCGCGACTGAGTGTTTCATTTGTAGATCTGATCTAACGACTCAGATGAACCTTTCAAATGGCTCGTAATCACAGAGGATTAGAACTCATGTACCATATGAGCCAAATAGGACTCAGATGAACCCTAATCGAAGTCGTCTCTTCCTCTTTCGCCTCGCAATCGACTTCGAGCTGCTGGAGCTGGACTTCGTCTGCGACTACGACTGCGATATAAGCGCTGGACTTCGACTGCGACACTGGATCGACTTCGGCTTCGCAGGTTCGACTCTCTCTCCCCTTCTCCTTCTTCTTCGTCTTCGACACTGGTTCGACTTTCATTTTTTTTTTTTTTTTTCCTTTTCTTTTTTTTGCCTTCGACTTCGACTTCTTCAGTTCAGTCCTCTGTTTTTTTGTTTTGCCTTCTTCTTTTTTTTTTTTTCCTTTTCTTTTTTTTTTTCAATTATTTGAGTTGAGTCTATTTTTTCTTCAGTGGATCTATTTTTTCTTTTCTTTTCTTTTCTTTTCTTTTTTCAATTATTTGCTTCTTCTTCTTTCGACTTTCTTTTTCTTTTCATTAATGATTATTACATAAATAAATAAATTAATTAATTAATTCATATTTCATGGCTTTGAGAATTATTCTATATTTTGTCTTGAATCTTGATTACATTTTATTTTTAAAAAAATTGTCTAAGTACTATGAATGATTAGTCTATTTTAATTTTTCTATTTTTTACGAAGACTGTGCGCCTTACTTCAATAAAACCTGCGCCTCGCCTTGCGCCTAGGCCTCGAGAGACCTTCAGCGCCTTAGTGCGCCTTGAACTTTTAAAAACACTGCACCAACGTACTCTACAAAAATTTTCATGGTTGGTCAAACCTGCCAACCCACTTTGTCGAGCAAAATCCGCTCGACAAAGATTTTTCAAGTTGGTCAAACCTATCAACCTACTTTGCTCGACAAAGATTTTCAAAATTGATCAAACCTGCCAATTTACTTCACCAAGCACAATCCGCTCGAAAAAGATTTTTCAAGTTGGTCCAACCTACCAACCTACTCTGTTCGACAAAGATTTTCAAAATTGGTCAAACCTGCTAATCTACTTCACCAAGCAAAACTCGCTCGATAAAGATTTTTCAAGTTGGTCAAACTTGTCAACTTATCTCTTGCCCAAACCAGCTTGGCAAAGAGATAAAATTTGTAACCAAAGGATAGCGTAATTCATATTGCCCCCATGATCCATAAAACGTGAATTCCATCTCAACATATTTGACCCAAATAATAGTCTTCATCCACGTTTGGTATAAAAATCATATTTTTCAGATAATAAAAATTTGATATAATAATTTGTCTTCCATGTATTTGTGGTTGGAATAATAATGCATAAACTCCGTGCTCCATAGATAATCAAAATTCGACATAATGTATAAAATCTATGCTCTGTAGAATAATAATTGATAATAATACCTCCATGTCCAGCATGATAATGCATAAAACCCATACGTCGTAGATAATAAAAATTCGATATAATGCATAAGATTTATGCTCCGCAGCATAATAACTGATAATCATGCCTCCATGTCCAAAATAATAATACAAAAAAAAATCTTACTCCACAAAACTGCTCTATTCTCTCATTGAATCAGGTTTGGCACTGAACAAGACAAATTGATTCATGTCCACAAAGTATAGCATGCCATAATATTACTTCATAAGAGTCTTTGTTTCAGAAATTCCAAGCCAAAAGAAGATCCAAATACCTCAAATAAAATTGGTGATGTTAGGCTATAGTCCTGCTCGATGTGACCCAAATTAAATTCAAGGGCAATCAAATCGCATCCACGAAGCTTACACATTGTCCCACTAGCAAAGCTGCTACAACATCATTATGGACATATTGCTTTACATGGCTTGGGAATATGTCCCTTAGCCAATTTAATACTCTTTCCTTATTCGTTGGATGGTTAACACTAGATACATCCAAACAAATAATATCATATGAACAAATCTCTTTGAACTTGAATTTAAAATGTTTCTGCCATAACGTGTTCTAATGTATTTCTGGCTGCAGTTTAAAATCAATGTTAATGTATCTTTGTGTTGATAACTGTGAATTCATCTTCTTTGTAAGATTTAGTCGATTCTCACAGATGGCGCCAATTGTACGGGCAAAGAAAAATCACGTACTTGTTAATAAAGAAATTCAACGAAGAAGATGAATTAGCACCACCACGCTATCGCTATCTGCAAGACAAAACACCCTCAGTCGTAGTCGAGGGCCCTCCGACGCCCAAGTCAATCCTCTAATATTATCAAAATATCTAATGGACTAATTCATAGAGAGAAATTGCGTCCCTCAACACATAAGGGTGTTGCCTATTTATAATATCCAATGACTTACTTAGCAAGTAGTTTGAATGTTTCAGAAGTTCTATCCCAAACAATCTCTGATTGTTGAGGACTTCTCTATCGATAAGATTTCATATTATGATAGGTTTTGCACAACATAAAACACTAATACAGTGTTTGATAAGGATTTAGTAACTGTAATACACATGATAATTTATAATTACGTCACGTGGCACTGTCGGGACCCATGGCACTGTCGGGACCTACATAATTCCTGTAGTTATTTTTATTCCCTCTCAATAGTCTCAATAGAGAATTGTCTTATCTGGGTTCTCACTTACACTATGTTTGGTAACTTAGGAGAGAAAAGAAAAGAAACGATTTAGTAAGTTATAAGACAAAAGAAGGAAAAGATTGTGATTTCTTTCCTTTTTGTTTGGATAGATAACAGAGAAGATAAAAGAAATGATTTTGATTTCTCTCCTATCTTGTTTGGTTAAGCTATATGAAAGAAAGTAAGTGTTAAAGAGAAATATAGGATGCAAGATTAGTTTTTTCCTTTTCCCCTTGGCAATCAAATTGGGGATTTATGCTATGTTTTTTGAAAGAACTAGTTGGCTGAACTTGGGTGTTTGAGAAAGAGAGAGAGAGAGAGAGAGAGAGAGAGATGCTTGCTTGCGTGTTTTTATGGCCTAGTTTGTCATTATTATACTTTGGATGAAAATAATGCCCAATGCACAATCTCCCACTTTAATAAACTGTGATTATCTGTTCATTGTGTGTACCTGGGAGAAATTCCAAATTACATTTTTATTCAAAAGAGAATGTGTGGGTTTTGATTTTCTGTTGCTAGACGAGCTTGCTTGCTTTGTTGGATAGTTGTGATTATTGTGTTGTTATTATGAAACTTGTTAGGTATTTAAAATTTAGATTTAGATTGTTTTTCTCTTAGGACATTATACAGTTATTTCTTCCGCTCTGTTATGAGGTGTATCATAGGTGTTCTTAATGCCACTATGATTACTATGGAAGGTAAGTCAAGGGAGGAGCACATAAAAGTTTGAGAAAGTAGCATTATTTATTGATGTCCTATTCTTTGGATACTCAATTAGGGTTGTATAAGAAGGAAAACAGCTTAAGCCTGGATCAAGCTTGGTTCAGTTAAAACTTCCCCATGCTTCCTTGGTTGGCTATTGGTCCTCCTAAGGTTATGGCAACAAATAATAATCTGGGTTGAGTAACTTGCTGCTCAATGGTACAAGCTCAACTCATATGAACCAGAAATGATACAAGTGATATATTATTTGCCTTGTCAACTGCTGTTAATTAGCCAAGGTAGCCTTCCTGCAGAATATTTTAAACTTGTGAATAGTATCATGCGAAAATAATCAGAAGTGTGTTGCTTAATGGAAGATCTATTTAAGTTTGTACAAGTTGCTGCTCAGAGCTTCTCTCTCATATTTTTTTTTTCTTTTATTTATTTATTTATTTTAATAGGGCGGCTTTGATACTGCAATGGTTTGGTTTGGCATGTTTGAAAAAAGTCAAAAAGTCACTGTCCTATTTAAATCACATCATTTTATTTAAGTCATATCACCTCTCTAACACATCACTTCAAACCCAACCCAAACCCAACCCATATTTCATAAAAAGTCAAAAAGTACACTTATTTAGATCATTCCAAACAACTTATGTATTATGAAACTTGGAAACTTGTATTATGAAACTTGGAAACTTGACTGGTCGGTAGTTCTTAGCTGATCTGGTCCAGCTTTTGAAACATTACCCACTATCCTGTTAAGAAAGGTGGTTGAATCTTTGTTGGTTCTAAGAGGGTGGTTGGGAAGCAATTCATGCGAATCGGCGGGAGGGATGTAGAGTAATGTAGAAGTTGATATTTTTGGAAAATATTTATCACAAAAAAAAAGTTGATATTTTGGAAAATGAAGATGTATAAAGATGAGGCCTCTAAGAAATTGATCTAAATTCAATTAATCAAGTAGGTTGTTGGAACTTGGAAGTTGCTGGTTTTATGTCCAACCCAACCAATAGTTTTGGTAAATTCTTAGCGCCATTCGTAAGAAAATTTGCCTTAGAAAAAGGTTGGATTAAGAGGAAGCTTTTTCCACCTTCCTTATTGAAGGGGGATGGTTGGTAACATAGATTTTTGTTGACAATTGTGAAATATTTTGCTAATATTGCTCTAGTAGGCAAACACAAAGAAATCGGTTTTATAGGGTCAGTTTTCTATAAGTCATTCCGGAGGGATAAGTTGGAAAAGGTTGTTAGTTGTAAGGGAGGATCCTCCTAATCCTAATTAGCTTCCACCAAGAATATTGTGAATTACTAAACCAAACCAAACCAAACCATACTAAGCCTCGTGTCCCAATCAAGTGGAGTTGGCTAAATGAATCTTTTTAGAGTAAATAAATCAGATATAGGTGATTTTGAGTTTGACATCATGCAACACTACTTTGATGTTGACTTAGCATCACATGTCATAAAAGATAATTTGTCTTACTGCAAGATGTCAAACTTTAAATAGTGGTCATTTCACTGGAATTATTGGACATCTCATAGAATATAAAGGTTTCCCCCCTTTTTTTGTCTGCTTAATTAGGTTGTCCTGTAATCATTTGAAGGACATATGTGCATGGATGGAGGTGAAGATACATGTTTTCCCCCCTTTTGGGTGGGGAGAGATGCTCAGGGTTTGCACAAGCTTTTCATTCTCTTGATATATCTTCAGCTGTTTACTATGCTTATTGGTAACTTGTATTTTTTAAATTTAGTTACACCCAAGAGAAATACAAGGATCAAATGCTTTCTTCAATATCATTAGGGAGCTATGAGTGAGTGGTCTTTAATAAATTTTCCTCTATGGAATGAATGGTTGATGTTGATTATATGACGTATTCTTGTTGTGAATGTTCAAAGAAATTGATGAATATGAGATCATTCTCATGAAACTTGTCATATTGATAATCCTACTTGTCATTACCAAAGCAAAAGAAGCCAGATACTTCATGGTTTATTGTGTGTAACTCAAGAACTTGTGTATGGTTTGTAATCCCTATTTCTCTATATCTTAAAAAGGGAATATTGCATTTATTTTACTTTATGTCTCTGTTTTTTGTGTTAAAATGATGCACTGTACTTGCACATGTAGAGTTCTTGCACATATATAGAGTTCTTGCAATCCATTTAACATTATTTGCTTCCTATTGATTTTGTATGCAGCTAATAGCCCTCCCCCAAAACCTTGGGAACAAGCTGGGTCCTCATCTGGTCCAACACCTTTTAAGCCCTCTTCTCTGGGTAGCACAAGTGACGTGGTTGAGTCTTCTGGAACAGCAAGACCCGGTGAAATTGTTTCGACTACAAATACAGCTGTAAATAGAAATGCACTTGGGAGGTCTGTGCCCACTAGACCCTGGGAACAACAGACGTACGGGAACACTTATGGAGGTACTTCTTTTTCTATGTATTGCAAATTAATCTGTTTTGTTTCAAACTTGCCACATTAGGCTGTATAATTATAGCTTTTGTGATGCATGTTGCTTTTTGTCTCATAAATTGTACTTATACCCAGCTCTTTAAGCTTTGACACTTCATACATATTCCTCCTGTTTCTTTAGTCACTATTATCTGTATCATTGCATACAGCATGAACAGGCCTTGAGAAGTTTACTATCGCAGATCATGAGAGTTTTAGTAATTTAAATAAGTAAAAAAAGTAAAATGTGTTTTTAGATTCTTTTGGGGAAATCTTAGACTAAATATAGGTAGTAAACCAAGATGACGACACTATATGCATTGGTGAAAATCATTTCCTTTATTGCCAAACTACTGTTTCATGTTGTCTGACGGAGCCTATTTTTTGTCCATTCCAAATGCAGGTGTTGGTTCTGGTTTGAATTATAATTCTGGTTATGGCTCTGGAATGTATGGTTCATATGGTGGAGGGTTAGGTGGGTCTTATGGCGGGGGGTTGTATGGAAACAGCATGTACCGAGGAGGTTATGGTGGGCTTTATGGAGGTTCTGGGGGCAGCATGTATGGAGGGGGAATGTACAGTGGTGGTTTTGGAGGCCCAATTGGTGGTTATGGGGGAATGGGCATGGGGGGTCCATATGGAAATCAAGATCCTAATAATCCTTTTGGTGCTCCACCATCACCGCCAGGGTTTTGGGTATCCTTCCTGCGTGTTGTAAGTCAAACTTAACCTTTTTTGGCCCATCCTTTTGATATGTGTAATAGGAGCAAGAAAAGTTGCTGATATAAACTGTATGCTACTTGTGAACTTTCTAATATTTGTAGCACATTATCATGACCATGACGATCCAGAACATCAGATCTGGATAAGAGTCATAAGGCCTGGTATCTTTTTAGCGCGAAGTAGTGATTTTAGATCAAGCTATATACAGCTTATGGATAAATGGCATATCTGGATACGAAATCAGATGTGCCAAATTTTTTTTCACAATGTCCATCATAATTCCTTATAGAGGTATAATGCGTCAAAATAGGAAACTTCAAATTTATCTTCTTCTTTTTATTATTTTTATTTTTTAGAATTATGTTTCAATTTACCAATGAAAGAGAGAGGTGAGTTCGTTCAAAAACCACTAGATGGTCATAATTGGAATAAAAATACGAATTCCAGTAGATGGGTCATAGTTGGAATACAGATATGCATGCTTCGAAGGCACTCCTGCACTTGCGGTATTTTCACAAAAGACGCCCTTGCACTACACTAATTGGTTACTTAGGGCAGAACTTAGTGCAATGGGATCCTGGGTTTGGCTATTGCAATCTTCCTTCTATTTTATTTTGCCTTATTTATCATTTGTGTGGGCACATGTGATTGATTGTAATTGTAAGGCTGTGTTTGGATCCTGATTTGTGGAAAGGAAAGTGAAGGGGAAAGTGACAAAAAGTTAGCATATACTTCATTCACTTGTTCTTTTTTTAATCTCTCATCAAATCTAAGATCCAAACACAGCTTCAGAGTTCTTATCAAATTACCCATTAGTGGGCTATTATTCTCTCAAGGTAAATTGCAATTACAAACTTGTGGAACTCATGTCATTTCATTGAACCATAATGTATATTTATCCTCTCTATTATGATGCAGATGGAAGGTGTGGTAACCTTCTTTGGCCGGATTGCAATACTGATAGACCAGAATACACAGGCATTCCACATGTTTATTTCTGCGCTTCTTCAGGTGCTTTCATTTTCTTATGCCCCTACGAAAGTGTAGAACCACACCTCTCATATATATCCTGAAACTAAGATTGAAACATGCATTGACCCATATGTTTTACTTTAATGACTCGTGGAGTTATCGTGCACAGCTGTTTGATCGGTCAGGATTACTATACGGAGAGCTTGCAAGATTTGTGTTGAGACTGTTGGGGATTAGAACTAAACCTAAGAAGGTTCAGCCATCTGGACCTGATTTATCGCTCGGCCCTCACAATCCTCATGGAGGGCAAAACTACATTGAAGGACCCAAGGCTGGTCCAAGTGGTGGTCCATGGGACAGTGTATGGGGAGGTAATTGATTTTGTTCCACCCAGCTTATGTTCATCCTGCTGAACGAGCCTGTGAAATTTGGCTGAAATCTGTATGGAGGTAAAGAGTGCGGATGGAAAACGATGATGCCATTGCATGTATACAAATTGGATTTGCCGTATGAGAAATGATGCTTGCATGAATAAAAGAAGCTCTCTCTCTCTCTCTCTCTCTCTCCAAGTATTCCTATGTGCTCTAGTTTTGCTTGTGTTAGTTTTGTGCTAAGCACTTCTGAACGCAATAAAGGTAGAGAGATACTAATGTAATGTGTTTTTTGTTGTTGTTGCTATAATGTAGTGTGTAAATACTATTGAGTATGAAGAAAAAAAAAGTACTATTGAGTATGAGCAATTTATATTTGTTAAAAGAGTGTTAATTCTTCTTCCTTCTGTATTTTGAATTTTACTTTTGGTTCATATTTAAGTCCCTGTTTGGTGTTTGGAAATGGCAAGGAAAAAGGAAAGGGAAGTGAATAGGAACTATTTTTGTGTCGTATGTTCTTACCTATCAAATTAAACATTACATCAAAAGGTTCAAAAAGGTGGTTAGAAGAAAAGAAGCAGAGAATGCAAATGATATTTGAAAATTTATTTCATTGCGTTTACTTTTAGGGTATTCGGTTCAAAAGTTTAAATTACAATTTTATTTAGTCAAAGGTCTAGGAGTTAAAACATTTTGTTCAAAAAGATAAGTTCAAGTAAAATGACTAAAATACCCTCTACAGCCACTTTTGGCAAAGAGATTAAAAGTCACTTTTTAACTTTAATTTTTTTTTGAATCACTTCATCTTTTTATTTTTTTTAACGATTTTTCAAAAAACAAAAAAAAAATTAAAAAATTAATTTTTAACTTATTTTCCAAAATAACCGTATATATATATATACTAACCTATCACCGTATTATGCACGAGATAATTGTTGATATTTTTTATTTATTTTAGATTTTTTTTAATATATAAATTATGTTTTTAAAGGTTTTTTATAAAAATAATTTAATAATTTTATTACTAACCATAATATATGAGAAAAGTTAAAAAGAGTACTGCAGTAACTATATACAGATTGTATCCATAATTATTTGTATGAGGGGATTTTAAATGTTGATCAGGAGATTTTGACCAAATCAATAAATGCAAGCATGTGGAAAGACATGTGGATTGAAAAAAATTAATAAATATTAATCAGGAGATTTTGACCAAATCAATAAATGCTGAGTTTTTTTTTTAAATAAAAAATTTAGATAATTCAGATTAAGATATTAAAACTTTCACAGGTCTTGAGAGTTAAAAATCATCTTTTGTTTAATATATAGTATCGATAGATATCATATACATGAACTCAGACCATAAAAATCAAAACACTCTCTCTCTCTCTCTTGCTCTCTCAAAAGCAGTATAAATGTCATTTTCCAAATCTGTTGCCTCCATCCATGATCAACTTTTCAATTTCAGCTCAGTGGATTAAGATTACGGTCAGGATTTCCACTAAGCCTAGGGGGCACAAAACAAAATACTAACAGAAAATAGAAAGCGACACAAAACACTCACAGTAGGTGGCGCCAAGGAACGATCTCATTATTCAATGAAAAAAAAAAAGAAAACAAAAGAAAGTGAAAGGGATTGGAACAAAAAATCGGGGAGTTTGGTTTTAATATTTCGAGTATTGAACCAAGAAACAATCTACCTTCAGTACATACATGTAGGCTTTGCTGGTTTGTCAAGTATCTGGTTGCGCTTAAAAAAAAATTATATAAAAAAAAATACATGAAACATTGCATATTTGATGAAAATTGACTTTACTTCATGTAGCAGATTGTTGGAAAATGGACGAAAGGGTATTTACCTGAAGAACATTGTGTCTCAACAATTGATGTTTATAGATGCATCAACAGAACATTAAAAATGAGTAGGACCTAACCACTTATTGAAGAAATTGCCACTCCTTGAGCGGTACATGTACATCTTCATCCAGCTTTGCTGTCATCAAATTGGAGCTTAAACTCAGCATTGCTTACTTATCACCTTCCCTAATTAAAAAGCCCAACTAGGTGCAATGCACATTACTTCTTCTTCTTTGATCTTCACATCACCTCTTAACAATTTGAACAACTCGATTGATGTTGAAGAAATTCGACCACGCGGATTGATGTACAAGACAGAGAGACGCTTGCAGCCATCCCTCAATGCTTGAAACCCATTATCACATAAATTCCGACATCTATTCACATGAAGCCTCTCCAAGTTGTTGCAATTTGACCCAATTGATTCCCACCCTGATATCCTAACCTCATGACATAATGCCAAGTTCCACTCTTGCAGTAAAGGACACCCTTTTGCAATCGCTGCAATAGACTCATCGTCAATAGTTCTGCACAATCGAAAATTAAGGATTCTAAGCCTTGTGGCAAATCCAGCACCAATAGCTGCCAACCCGTCTCCATGAATGCACCAGCTTAGACTAGACATGCTCAAATACTCGAGCCCACCTCCACTTAAAATACCCAATATACCCTCTGGTTCAAGCTTGCAAGACTCAGCTTCTAAATAAGTTAAAGATTGAGAACACCCTTTAAAGCCAACACCGCTGACATTTCTACAGTAAGAAATTCTGACGGCCCGAAGCTGACAGCAATGTTGTGAAATAGCTCTTATTCCATGGTCAGATATATGTGAACAATATGAAAGATTCACATCTTTCAAAGCCAAGCAAGATTTAGACAAAATCTCTAACCCAACGTCACTGACATTGCACCGGTAGAGACTAATGAGTGTCAATGAAGGACAGCCAGCGGCAACCAAGGAAAGCCCATTATCGGTGATACCGAAACAACAATCTAAATAAAGTGCCTGCAGATTTGAGCCATAACATTGCAATTGAGTTAAGCCTGAATCATGTAGATCCATGCACCCAGACAAGGACAAAGACTGAAGCTGGCGAAAACGATTGAGCAACCTACAAAGATGGAAAGATTTAATGCTCATGCTAGTCTGACATAATAAGGGAATGTTGGGTAGGCTTAATGAGCAGTGAAACTGCAAGGATTGACGACTTGAATTCTGAATATGAAGCCAACGACGGCAAGTCAAGCCAAAAGATTCACGATCAGACCCAGAGTCAAGCCATTGGAAAATAAAGTATAGGCAATCATCAGGAAGGTGCATAATGGAGGCAGGACCGTCTCTAGAACCATGTTCCATTTCAACTTAGTTAGCACTCTTCTGAAGGCTGTAAAGCTCGGATCTTTATCATGAATTTTTTATAAGAGCTTGACGAGGTGGGTGAGTCAAATCCACAAAGAGCATGCGAGTCTCCATATCCATAACCTATAAGGACTCCGCATTTACGACAAAGAAGTTTTGATTTTGAATGATAACGACCCCAAACAATAGGAAGACAGTTTACCCTGTCAACCTGTGTAAATCGACTGAGATCAATGGAAAGGAATGAGATGTAACCTTTCTTAATGGATTTCCGATACTCGGAACCTATCCCGGAAGTGATACGATTGGAAGATGTTAAGTTCAGAGGGTACCCACAAGATCCACAGCTGCAGAGCAAGAACAAAATGGAAGTACATTACTTTAAAATAACGCACTCGATAGCAAAGAAAAGAACTAAGCAAACGAAGAACAAGTTCTTCTAAGAATTAGGGAATTAAGATCTTTACTGTGTACAAAACTTCACAGCTATATATAAATAACTATATACAAACATATAGCAAAAGTTGTTGAGGCATTAAAAAGGTAATAACATATAAAGCCCTATAACTAACAACACAAAAACACGAGCACACATGCACATGTATGTCAGCATGTATCAGTTTCAACAGTTCTGATATAAGAACACATTGCAGTTTTCTTATTCACAAGACAGAAAACTCAATGCAGCAAAAATTGGTAGCCTCTGGAATCTTTTCAACCTAAACATCTCATTTTTTTATGCTTATAATCCAATATCCAAATATTTGGAGAGAATCTCCTAATTTTGTGCCACTGCAAACACCGCGACCCTTCTGACCCTGTTACTAAATGTATACTTGACCAAAAGCAGCAAAATGGACCTCTCTAACAATGCTAGGTGCATGTATACAATTTTCTAAAATAAGAAAGGATCCTCTTAACAATGTTAAGTGGATGTGTGCAATTTTCCAAAATAAAAAAGGATCCAAATGACCAACTACTAGGGATTAGATCCAAGCACCGTAAAATTAAATTATCCAAATGATTAGTTAACACTAGTTTCAAAATAAAACCAATCCATTCAATCGTTGTCTTGAAGCAAAAGGGAAGTTCACACAAACATACATCAAATCAGTAGAATTTTAGAGATTATCAATGAAATCCAAAAGACAAATTTCACCCAATAAGATAATTACTTTTTTATGAGACTTGGTTTCAGCTTTTTGCCCCTCTTATTACATTACAAAATTTTATTTCATTTTCTTTATCTCATCAATCTTTCCGAAACAAGAAGAGAAGATAACCAACTATTTCCTTCTTCATTTCTCCCCTAAATTATCCAAACAAGAAGAAAACATGTCATTATCCATTCTTTTCTTTTTCTTTCCTAGTTTCTCAATGATGCAATGCAAAAGGGGAATTTCATACAAAATTCCTATCAAATCCATAAAGTACGAGATCATCAATGAAAACCCAAAAGATAATTTTTTTTAGTAGAAACCACAACTAATTAAATTCAGTAGATAACAAGAATCAAAATGAAATGATATACCTTTGACAGTCTTTAAAACTAAATAAACCAGAAAGAAAGATATATAAATTGAAGGTTTTAAAGAAAGAAAACCTGTAAGAGACATCAGCTTGGGACATCCTTGATTTAGATCATCAGAGATGGAGGTTTCTCTCCACATAACATCGAACCCATCAATTAGATCGAATGGGGAAAGAGAGACACAACACAAGTGATCACTTTGGAGAAGCTGTTGATGCTTTGGCGTTAAGAGAGAGAGAGAGACGACTTTTTTGATGTTTAGTGGTTTGGATTGTAACTTGTACAAGAGAACATCCATATAGGAGTCTTTAACCCTGTTTGGTCATATTCGTGTTTTATAGTGGTTTCTCTCCACATAACATCGAACCCATCAATTAGATCGAATGGGGAAAGAGAGACACAACACAAGTGATCACTTTGGAGAAGCTGTTGATGCTTTGGCGTTAAGAGAGAGAGAGAGACGACTTTTTTGATGTTTAGTGGTTTGGATTGTAACTCGTACAAGAGAACATCCATAGAGGAGTCTTTAACCCTGTTTGGTCATATTCGTGTTTTATATTGCGACATTTATTCATAAATTCCTTTTTACTTAATTATGTTTTATTTAATTTAATTTTTTTTAATGTTTTAATAAATTTTGTGAGTGAAATGATTATTGAAATATTTTTAATAATTATATTTACATTGATAATGTAAATGTTTCGTCCAATTCCAAAAATATATATAAATGCTCTGTGAATGTTTATGTTGTCAATGTGAACATTCACAATATCAAACATAAATATTCACCTCGTGAAATTGTTAAACGTTCAAAAAAATATTTATAAAGATAAAATTATTTATAAAATATCTTAAATATGATAATTAAAATTTGATAGAAAGTAATTCAAAAATCAAAATTTATTTTGATGATTTATTTGAAAGAGAAAATAAAATCAAAGTTTATTTTGATAATTTATTTGAAAGAGAAAAAATATCATGCAGGCAACTGGGGAGGATTCCTCTGTTGAGCCAGTAGAGAGAAGAAGGGCCTTCCGTGCTCTCCTAGATGTTGGCCTTATACGAACAACAACTGGCAATGGTGTTTTTGGTGCTCTCAAGGTATCATGGACCCCTTCTTGTAAAGTTCGATGCAAACTATTTAGAAAATTTAGGAAGATTAGTACTTTATAAATTATTTTAGACCTTTTAATTTTAATTTTTATGTATTATAATAATAATTTTAAATAAAATTAAGGATAAATTAAAAATATATTTTTGAAATTTGATTAAAATATAAATCGCTCCTTTTAATTTTGAAAATTACATTCTATCCTTTAAGATTTCTAATTTCATAATAAATTGTCAATTTTATTAATAAATCATCAAGTCAATTAACAGTTTTTAATGATGTTAAAAATATGTTTCAATTAATAATTTAGGTTATTTTATTATTATATAGGAGAATAATTATGGATTTCATTTTTTTAGTTAATTCTGTTAAATAAAAAATTCAAATAAGGGGATATTTGTAATTTTTCAAACCACAGGGGGCGAACTGTATTTTAAACAGACCTCAGGGAGTGTATTAATTTACCTTAAAATTAAAAAGGATATCATTAATTTTTGGACATTCCATCTCACAATTAAACCTACATAGTCACTATATCATGAATTAGGGTTTATGAGAGCACCCACCTCCATCACCACCAATCTATCTTCCTCAAATCCCATCTTCAAAACCTACCCACCCTCAAAACCTTGAAAACTCTTTGGCGACAATATTCCGGCTGTAACAGTGGCAACCACTTGACTACCTACACCTTTTTAGCAATGGTAATATTATGGCAGTAACAGTGGCAACCCTTTGGCGAAATACAAGCCTGAACATTGCTTATTTGTTCGGGATGACGTTCTCAAACAAATAAGTAGGGTTGTATATAGGGTTATTTGAACCGCACAACCCGCTCAATTCGAACCAATCCACATACAAATAGGCAGTTTTGCAAACACAATACGAACATATACGGTTTGGAATATGCATAATTGCGGGTTGCAGGTTTAATCCGCACCCGCACTTAGATTTTTTTATTTTTATTTTTTATATATAAAAAAATCTAGATCGTTGATTTCATTCATCCCATCTTAGATATTTTTGGCCAATACACCAAACCCTAATTTCATGATATAAAAAGAAATGTTGTAGAGAACATTATTTGAGAACATTATTTTTGAATGTTTTTGTTTTTGTTTGTTTGCTCTGTGAATATTATAGGAAATTGAATTTACTTATTCATAGAGGGAAATTGAATCTGTTAATTACTTTTGAAATTAAAATCAATCTTATATTATATTGAATCTGGAAATTGAATTTGAAAATTGAAAAAAATCCAATCCGCAAACTGCCCACAACTACTTGAACATCCGCGAACCCTATTCGCATAAACTGCAACCCACACTACGAGCGATTGCAAGTCGAATTTTTTCCAAACCACATACATGCGAGCGGGTCCAAACCTATCCGCAAACCGTTCAAAACCGAACTGCGAACACCCCTACAAATAAGTAATGTTCAAGAATGCAGGTCTGAATATGGAAATTTCTTAAAACATTGAACAATCAAAATTATTAACGCTTGCAGAAGTTTTCATTTTTTCAAGTTCGAGAATTACTACAACAAAAGTAACCTATGGTGACGAAAACTAGTGAAGAAAATGAATTTTGTCACTAAATAAGAATGATTCGTGAGGAATTTATAAATTTTGCTATATATAATATAAAAAAATAGGTGACAAAATTTATTTTCGTCAATAAATACTTTCTTTTAGGTGAGGAAAAATTAACTTTCGTCACCAAAAATTTTGTCGCTAATTTTTTTGGGTGGTGCCAAAATTTTGGGACATTTGATGAGAAAAAAATTTGTCACTAATTATAAAATTATTTGTAAGGAATATATTTTTGTCGCTAATAATTTTTAATATTTTTTGATAGACTTATTTATTTTGATGATTTATTTAATTATGTTTTAATTTATTTGAAAGAGAAAAATAAAATCAAAATTTATTTTGATGATTTATTTGAAAGAGAAAATAAAATCAAAGTTTATTTTGATAATTTATTTGAAAGAGAAAAATAGAATCCAAAATTTATTTTGATGATTTATTTAATTATATTTTAATCAAAATTTATTTTGATGATTTATTTGAAAGAGAAAAAATCATCAAAATTTATTTTGATGATTTATTAGAAAGAGAAAAATAGAATCAAAATTTATTTTGTCCTATTATTTCTCACATAAACATTTATTCTAAATGTTGTTAGAATGTATTTAATATTTGATTAAATTAGGAGTTCAAACAGCCCAAACAAAGGTTCAAACAACCTAGCACAGCAGCAGGCCAAAAGGTTCAAGTGGAAGATATTCAAATTAGTAATGATGGAAATATAACGGCTGTAAACGGCTATAAAGGTTCAAAAGGCCAAAAGGTTCAAAAGGTTAAAGTGGAAGATATTCAAATTTGTAATGATGGAGTGGAAGATATTCAAATTGGTAATGATGGAAATATAACGGCTATAAACGACTATAAATTCAAATTGGTAATGATGGAAGTACAACGGCTATAAACGGCTATAAATTCAAATGAATACAACGGCTATAAACGACTATAATTTTCATTATATATACCAAAGCCTCTAATGTAAATAAGTTACAAAAAACCTGAAAATATTCTTTGATTTATAATCACTCACATCTATTCTTAGAAATTATATACTGAGCCTTATAGCTTTGTAACAACCCTCGCCACTGTTTACCGATAAACTACCGATTACTGCTAAACTGAGACTGATTATGATTGGTAATTGAACTGATTGAAATACTGGACTGACTGACTGAAATCTGAAACTGATTGATTGAATATATCTGTTTGAATTGCATTTCTATATGTTGCCTGTTTGATTATCTGTTCATGTTTTTATGTTTAAACTGCAAATTGAAGGCCTTATCGGCGGCCGAACCGGAAATTGATTAGTGTTTTACGATCATCATAATTTATATAATTTTATGGTGTATTTATCTAAAATTTGATTTGGTATGGTTTAATTAGATTAGAATGAGCTTAATCCCATAAGTTGCATTATCTACCACTTTGCCATGCCTAGTGACCCACTAACTAAACACTTTATGCTTCATATACACTTGACCAAAACATCTTCTTCAGCCATTTTTGAGAGACAAAGCCGACTAGAGTGAGAGAGTGAGAGGATAGGAGTGTTTTCAACTCGATTTTGTGGATTGGCTTGAAGAACTTGAAGAATTGAAGTATAGATAGCAAATTGAGCTCCCTTACCTTGCATTGGAGACCTAAGGTAATGTAACTACCCTCTTGTTTGTGAATTCAATTGATTCTTGCATGGTTTTAGAGCAAGTTGAAGTCTAGAGCCAAGTTATGGCTCTTAATTGTTGAATTATAGCTTAATTCATGCATGTATGCCTATATTGTTGAATTTTGAGTTGATTCCATGGAAAGTTGTCATATGCATGCCCATATTTATGTTAAGTCCATGAATTCATCTTGTCTTTGAAGATATTAGCTCAATAGAGCATGTATTTGAAGCTTGAAAATGATTTAAGTTCATGCATGTTGCATGTTCATCTTGTTCATGAAAATTGGTTTGAAATTGGATTTATTTGAACTCCCTTTAGGCTTTGATTTTTTTTACAATTGAGTTTTGAATCATGTTAAGCTATGAGTTTTGAGGAGTTTTCTGGAAAATTAGCCCAAGGGGATTGGTTTTGATACATTTGAACTCGATTTTGAGCTTAAGGTTTGAATCTGGGAATTCCAGATTTTGAACTCACGCTCGAGCGGGGTGACTGGCGCTTGAGCTTGGAAATCGTGCTCCCAACATTTTGTTCTGTTTTTGAGTAAGCTCGAGCGGGGTAATTTACGCTCCAGTAGGACCTTGTGTTTACGCTCGAGCGGGTGTCGAGCGCCCAATCGAGCGTGAATTTCACCTATCCAGCACTTTTGACTGTTTTGAAGTACGCTCGAGCGGTTTAGTCTGCGCTTGAGCGGAAACCTTTGTCTGCATGTCCGCTCGAGCGGATTAACCTACGCTCGAGCGGGACCCCTGTTTTCTGAAAATGCTTTTACAGTGCATCTTTGCATCATCATCTCATCCTAGGTATTCTTAGGCCTAGTTTAAGGCATCATAATGAGGATATAGATGTAGAACCACACCGAGGCAAACTAGGGATTAAATCATTATATTTCCCAACTGTGTAGCTTAGTGTGTGTTCAATCTGTAAACTGTGTAG